CTCACAAGCATCACACCGCAAACACAGGCAGCAGCTCCCTGTGCACCAAGCGAGCACCTTTGGGGCCATGGCTATATTGGGCTGGGTGGGTGCAGGTCAGCACCCATACCCTGTGCTCACATCCCACCTGGGCACCGGGAATGGGATCAGGGCTGACAGCGTGGCATTGAAAATCCATAACCCCCTCTTCGTCTCCAGAGCGCTTTGCTGCCAAGTCTTGCTGACCTTTAAAGCTCGAAGAGCTCCAATGAAGACAAATGCACCCAGCACCTCATCATAAAAATGAGCCCCCAGAATAGGAAGCCTCTGGGAGTTTGCAGTGCTTTTGCAAAACACGGATCAGATCGTTGTGGAGTCCTGGGCCAGCAATCAAACTCCTCAGCTGGCACCAGGAATGGTTGTGCCCTTTTGGCTCTGAGTTTCATGTGAACTGGGATGCTCCTTGTTACCCTTTGCATCCCACAGCTCTCCATGGAGTATCGGACAGGAATTGTGAATGCCAGCCCCAGATTCCCAGCCTGGCAACACTCTACAGAACCCAGACTTCAAGCTCTGCAGACCTTTATGGAGCTCAAGCTGAGTTTTATTTATTCCAATAGCTGCCTAGACAAAGCATCCTTTATAAACTCCATTAAGCTTCTGCTTTTAGCAAATACTTTCTCTCTCCACACTGTAATTATCTGCCAATGAAGCAGAAACCAGCAGATTGACAGGATCCACTCCCAGGATTATAATGCCAGTTCCTCTGTCACAGGTACATGTGTCACAGCAGCACAACCAGCTTATTTCTGAAGTCATAAGAGGTGGTGCAGAGAAGAATGCAGGAGGAGCTGGAGTAAGAGGAGCAGGGGAGGAGATGCTCTCTGGGGTGATGTTCCCCACTCTGCTCTGGGATTTCCCTGTACTACACCCAGTTTGCCCAGAGCATCAGCTTTGCCTGCTGCTGGAGCAGCTCAAAAGGTGAAGACAATGGCTGCAGATCCCTAAGTGCTGCTGCCAGGCAGGGGAAGGAATAGGTGGGTTTGCCAGCCTGGGTGGAAACTGCAGTGTGCAGCTGTGAGGGCATCAGCAGCCCTACGCCTGTCTGCAAAGGACACTCATGCCATGGGCCCAGCTGCAATCTCAGCTTGGTAATTCAGCCTCAGGCTTCCAGTTCCCAAAATGATGACAACTGGTCAGAAACAGCAACCAGGACCAGGAACCTGCCAAGCTCCAGGGCACATGGGGCTTTGAGTGGTTCCAGGAAGAGAAGCTCCCTCTTGGACCGAGTAGTGATGCTCCTTAGCATGCCCGAAAGCATCCCTGAGCCCGGCTGTTCTGCCTCACATCTGAGCTCTTCACATTCCCATGAGACAAACTTACACCCACGGACGATGGGTCCACCCAAGGCTGCTGTCCCGATGACTCTGTCCCGTTTTGTGTCCCTCCCCAAAAGGCACCTGAACATCCGGTACAGCTCAGCCCAACAAACCAAACCATTGTAGCTTTAAGGCACCGCTCCAGAAAGAAAAGGCCTTTCAGTGCAGGGAATAGCATCGCTTTTCCTCCACGCACCATCTGTTTGCCAAGATGAAGAGCTCCGGGCTGGCGAGGCTTAGTCATTCGGACAAGAATAGGTCCCACTGTACTTACACTTCCCAGCTCCCAAAATAAAAACCACAGCAAGTCACTGACTTCACTTACCCTATAGCAAACACGGAGCTGGCACGAGGAAACACCCGACTCTGCTATCCCCTAATGCAGAGCCAAAAGATGGACACAGCCTCAGGACCCCACAGTCAATGGCCCCTTCAAACAGCTTCATCAAGTCCTGTTGTTTTTTCAGAGGGAGAAAGGGAATTGCTGCTTCAGAACACCCGTACAACACACAGGGCCATTATCATCCCATTCTGCAGGGTAAAAAGTACAGATCCCAGAAGCCAAGACTCAGCATGTGCTGGAGCACCCAGAGGTGCCAGCAGATCCCTCCAGGCTTCATGTGTCCCTGGGGCTCCAACTCTAACCACGTGCCCGAATTTCAGCATCTGGCTTCCCTTCTCAGCTGGCTCAGGAGATGGTTTTAAACAGCTTGTGGGTCTCTGAGCCAGGATAATTGAGGAGACAGAGGTGGGTTTGCCTTCTGTAACTTGAAACCTCAGATGCCTCTTCTACCCCAAACTCGGTGCTGTCCTTAAGGTTGTAGGGTTGCACAAGGGCACAGTGCTATTCCTATGGGAAGACTGAACCACCTCCCCAGTGCCACCTCCCCAGCATCAGAGCAAACCAGGCATCTGTGCAGCCCTGAAACCTGCTTCACTACACAAAGGTCCACTGTTACTCACCCCTCCAGTCTTGCCAGCCAGGAGGAAGAGGCAGCGGTTGCAGGGATGCAATTCATTTCCCATGTGGGGGGGGTTTCCCTGAATATCCTCTTGGGCAGCTCCTCACAGCCCCGTTTCTCTTGCTCTGCACCTCCACCTCTGCGTGGTACCCGCTGGAAGCGCTGCCTCATGGAGCAGATGGAGCCATTTGAACAAAACTGGGAACAGGTACTTAGCATCCCAAGGGGAAGCATTTGGAACTGCTGGGTAAATAAGCCTCCGCAGGCCAAATTCAGCTCTCCATCAGTGCTACGGGGAGCAGTGACAGCACAGCTTGTGCCTCAGTGCTGCTCACCAGGAGCCAGACCCACTGCCTGGTGTCAACACCACCACTACCACTACAGGGGCTTTTGCAGAGGTGCCAGAGCCCCCCCCCCAAGCAGTGGGGTGACCCCCTGCTGCCCATGTACTGCCTGGGCTGGGCTCAGCATCAGTTAACCCAGCAGCAGCAACTGAAATTCCCCCTCCATTCCTATCACATCTTTTAGGGACATCAGCAGAGCACATCCCCTCCTCAAGCTCAGATGTCCATCCTTCCTCTGCCCAAATCCTGGGGGAAATTTGGTCTCAAGCTCTCCATCACCTCTAAAAAGCCACACAGCCCTGTTATTCACTGCCATGCCCAGGATACACGGTGACACTGCCTGAATCCTCCCCAGTAAATAGTTTATAGGTGGCAGAAATACCTTGTCCCTGGAACCCTGATGTCCTTCTGATAACTCACTTGTCCCTGTGACTCCATAAGTCCATATTTGCTACTCAGGTCCCCTGGACTTCCCCCCAGTGCCCAGCAGTCTCCAGCCCTGGCTGTTCCCGTGCTGTAAGGCTGCTGGCTCAGATGGGGATGCAGCTATACACCCCCAACCCTGAATCAAATCCACTTGTGCCCTTCGCCATGCATTGCACTGGTTATTCCTCAGGATGGGTGTCTGTGCTCCCCATCAGCTGGGAGAAAACCAACCCAGTGAGGGCTGGATGAAGCAGGGAAGCAGCCCAGGGAGCAGCCGACCTTGCTTGGGGTTTCCTGGCTTCTTTTACTTACAGGCCAACCTAACCAGTATTGAAATATCATCTTGTTCCCCCACCCTTTCTTTTTGTCACCTGCAAATTTAGATTAACAAGGAGGTTTGACAAAGTGCTACTGTATATGTTAATAAACCCATTAGTGTCGGCCCGCCTGACATATAACCTGCAGAGCCTCCAGTGTTTACTAATACGATTGTCAAAGCAGGGGAACATTACTTTTTAATGACATTTCATATCACTTCAGTTGAAGTAATATCCTGGGACATGATAATCAGAAAGCCATTTAGCTGCAAAACTATGTGCTGAATAGAGCCTGGTGCATGAAAGATGCTCATTTTGTCAGAATTAAAACATTTGTGTGTGCTTCATAAGTTGTAAGTGCATTTGTGGAGGAGAAACCTGTGAAATATTTACTGGGAGCAGGTCGCTTCAGGTAAATGTGGCTTCAAAATGAAATGCTGGGAGAGGGTATTATTATATTTGCTGTATCTTTTGCATGTAATACATCAATTGGCAATCCATACGTATGATAGGCTTAATAAAGCAATGAGATTTTAGAACTTCTCTTTAAAGAATATCTCTGAAGTGGCCCTTACCAGCCCAGCTGAATTTATTGCTGCTTTCCGAGCAGAGGAATGGCTGCAAGACAGACTGAGATGGACTCTGACTTTTGTAGAGCACCTTTCATGTTCCAGGTGACTCCAAAATGCTTTGTAAAGCAATGAGCACAGTACAGAGACAGCAGTAGCGCAGTAGCTACAGACAGCCCTGCTGCCCTTATTAATAGCTCTCTCCCCAGCTTGGACGTCACACTGCACCTAATCACAGCAGACCAAGGAGAAGAGGATGCTCAGCCAGGGGAGAGGGAAGTGGGGAACTCCCTGACACGTTCTCCAATGCCTCAGAGCTGCACTGGGGTCACTGAATAAAACAAAGATATCATCGTGGGTCAGATAAAGATGCAGAAATTAAGAATAAATTCATATTTTCTCCTTTTTTAAAAGGAAGAACCAGGGGGATCCCTCCATCAATCTGTCAGAACAACCTTTCGGATAGAAACTAGCAATTGATTTAGCTGGAGTCTCCTGCCGGATGGTGGATAGAGCTGATTAAAGCTGTGCATGCACTATTAATAGGAGCAGGATGCCTCGCTGTCATTATTATTAATTACACTGCTGTGATTACTATCTGTTCATCCATCCACCCATCCTCCCTTCTCTAATCCCGGCACTGGCCAAGTACGTACAAACACAAACCCTTCCTGTCTTTTTTTTGTTCCCAGTTTTCCGGGAAGGGGGTGGGGAAAGACCAAAAAACTTCATTTACAGGATTTCTTATTAGTATGTGTGAGAGTGTGAGCGTGCCTTGTGTGTGAGAAAGGGAGTGCTGGGAGATGAGTAGGTGTGAGGCACGTGGGAGCATCGGGCTGTGAAAAACGCACAAAGGGAAAGTTAAAGCCAAAGAAAGAGACTTTGCATTTCATGTTGAACCCGCTGGATTCCTGCTCCATCCTCCCCTTCCATAGGAGCAGTCCCACGGATGGGCTCTGACCCCCTTAGAAAGCCCTCTCCCACGCTCACAAGCACATCCCCACCTGGGAGCCAGGTTCTCCTAAAACCACAGCCACTGGTCCCAAGAAAGTCCGAGATTTTCCTTTACCAAATAATGAGACTGTGATAAGGGGAAACAAATGGGCCCTTGGAGCAGGGAGGGCTGCAATAAGAGATGAATTATTAGTCCAAGATGGAAATCTCTTTTGATAAATGACTGGCCCCAAGCAAGGAAGGATTCAGCAAAGCACAACAACGTCCTTGTTGTGACACGAGGAAGGGGAAGGAACAACCTTATAAGGGGCAACAAAGGCTCCGCGCTACCACCTTGACCAATTGGTTAATCAAGTGTATCCCACGACATCAGTGCAGTTCCCTCTTTGCATTAGTTACAGCATCTGAATGCGGTGGACAGCGATGATGTGCTCAGTCCAGGTCCTGGTTTGAAACCACCACCAGGAAAGAGGGTAGAGCAAAGCCTGCTGATGGGTCCCAGTGTCAAAAGCCCCTCGATCCGCACAGTGCTTCAAAGCTAAGACAGACCCAAAAAGACAAGGAGAGAGAACCAGGTTTTCCCCTTTCTCCCCTCCTGCAAGGAGCTTGGCTCAGCAGGATGGGGTGATGCTTCATAGGCCAAGCGAAAGAACTGCTGTTTATTAACACTGGCCCAATTCCTGGTATTTTTAAAGCCTAGTTCATTGAGGGGAGAATATCCATTGGCATCACTGGAAATAAACCTGACAATGAGGCACTGGGCAAGGCACTGGAATCAGCAGGCTTTAGCATCACAGCTCCTCCTGGATTTTGATGGGGAGGGTCTGTATGTCTAACTCCAAACAAGGTACAAGGACCTCTGTGGATTAGTACCCAGCCATAAGCAATGACACTATTGGAGTTTCTAAGTCCCTATAGCCTAGAATGCCGTTATCCCTGGGGACTGGTAACTGAAGCCTCTGGCACCACTATTTTTAGTGGGCGATTTAAGCAGAAACAGTGAGCAGAAGCACACATATATATCTCTGTGTATGCTATGTATACATATATATACACACTGCTAAAAAACACGACTGAAATGGCTTGAGCTCAACTTGCTAAACATATTTCTGCCTTTCTCCTCCCCCAGAAATCTCTACCAAAACATACCTCTCCATCTAATGAGATTAGCAAGGTACCATGCTAGATCTTTATTAGTTAAAGCTGACCATAGTGCAAAACTTGGCTGGAATCGTCAATGAGCTGACTGCCAGAGTGAGGAGTGCAGCCAGCAAGCAGATTTATTCCAAATGGGTCTCTGCTGTTTGCCTTGGGGAATATGCTTCCTTCTATTTAACTCCCTGAAAACTGGTAGCCAAAATTCAGCTCTCTTTATGCTCCCTGAACCCAAAGGTACCACCACTCCCACTGGCCTTACGCAGGCTGAATTCCACTGGCCGCAGTGATTTATATGAATACAAGGTAAAAGAAAAACAAACCTATTTACTCCGATGGCTCACAGTAGGATTTAGCACTGAGGACATTTATATATGGCAATCCCTGCCTTCTCTGACTGGCAGCTTGAAGAGACCAAAGTCCCAAATATTAACAGCAGAGCCCTGGGTGTTTATATCAGCAGTGCTTATCTTTACAGTCATCTTCTGCCCTCAGACGAGTTCGTTTGGCTCCCAGCATTCCTCTTTTGTAAAATATGGGCAGGGAGGAACAAGTGAGAAAGATCATTTCTATTATAAAATGCCTGGTGCTGGCCTCCCCTCGCATGCAGTCGCTGATAGGAAACCTTTCACGCGATCTGCACATTCCTTTCGTGGGTCACACCCAGAACCTCCTTTTAAAGGTCTCAGGAGGACCAGCAGATGCCTTAGGGGAAGGAACAGAGGCCAAAGCATGGCCATGTATGAGCGTTTCACTGCAAACAAGTTTCTTGCTTTGGAGTAGAAACGGGATGCATACGCAGAACAGATCTGGTTTCCATCAGCCCGTTATTTATAGCATTGGTTTCACACCATGGATTATACACACTCATGCTTGTTCTCTCAGGCTCTCAGTGCTCTGCCACGCTTCCTTCTCACCTGAGCAATGAATCTGGGTGTTTTACCCTGCCGTGATCAGGCTGTTCATGTCCCATTTAGTTGTGCGTTCACTGAATATGCTCCACAGAGCTTGGCTGCTCATGAAATGAGAGCTTGCAAGCAGAGTTCCTCCAAAACATCCTCCCGAGCCTTGGGCCAAGGTGGTGAAGGATCAGTTTATCAACAGTGCACAAAGGAGGCATCTCCTGAAGCCCTCAGTTCACAGCCCCCAGACGGATCCCTAAGGTTGGATCAACTGAAAACACCTTTGGTACAGAGAAGAATATGGTCCCATGAAACAAGTTACTCTGCTCTGCTGCTGCACTCTAACGGCTGCATGGTGGCAAAGACTCGATAGGAAGCCCCATGGTGGCCATCTCACCAGAAACTGCATCAAAGACCTCCTGTATTAAACAGCAGGGGCCTGAAAGAAGCTCCTACACAGCACAGTTCACAAGGAATTCTGCAGCCCATCACTTGCTGATCATTCATACAGAGCAGAATGGGATGGTAGGTTCCATCTGGTATGCCTGGAGTCATCAACGTTGTTCTAAGTAGTGAGGTTAAACAATGGGTATTTGGTCCCTGCTGTTGCTTGAATGAGATCTGTTGTCCATAATAAAACTCCTGGCACATGATCAGTCACTGTCTATAAACCCAAATTACACTAAGAAAAGCCAGCATACTGTTAAACAGTTTTAAACCATCATTAAAGAACACCATCTCCAGTCAGCACATTCTGAAGAGCCACGAGGAAAGCATTCTTCAGGTGTCCCTCAGACAGACATAACAGTGCAGAACACGGCTGATGGCTCTTCTTCAAAGTTCCCTGCCAACATCTGCACCCCAACACAAAGACTAGGCCAAGTTCTAAGATACCTGGAACCAAACAACAGTGTTCTCTGTCCCTGAGGTCACAATAATCAGCAACAACACCCTAACTCTGCTAAATGTTACTGGCAAAGCAGGGCTCGGGTCTCCATCATGAGCTTGCCAAGCTGTCCTCCAGGAGGACCTCACAGCCAGACCATGGGCAGCAGAACAGGCACCTTATGCCAGAGTCACCTTCTGGGCAACTACAGCTTAGTGAGTGTTGGCTGAGTTACCAGAAAGCCACATAAGCACTTGGACTAAGCAAGGTGTACTCCAGAGACTACGTGATAGGTTTGGTCTACTGCTAAACCTGTGGGTGGCTCAAGTTTGGGGAGATGGATTTTACCCCCTTCTTCTGGAATCTGAGGGCTCAATACAGGTGCCTAAACACAGATACCTGCACCTAGCGCCTCTGCAGATGTGCCAGTTCCACCCAGACATCTCAAACTGCATCATGGGGTTACCAAGCAACCAAAGGGTACCCGAGTAGGACTTCAGGAGGGAACTGCAAGTACAGCTGGAGAACTGTGGGATGCTCACACTGAGATACTTGTTAAGGTGCTTAATAATTTAGCTTACCAAAAAGAAGATGAAGAAGTATCTTATTAACAATAAAGAACACTTACTAAAGAGATCTCTTACAGCAGAACTCTCTTTAATCTAACAGACAAAGCCATATCAACATCCAATGGCTGGAAGCCAGAACTAGACAAATTCAAACTGCAAGGAAGGTGCCAGTTTGTAATTGAAAGAGTAATGAGCCATTGGAATTAGTCACCCCGGGCTGTGATGGATCCTCCACCATCTGAGTGGATGCCATTCTAAAAAGTGCCACATTGCAGGCACATATTTCTGTGTTTGGGAATTACTGGGAAAGGCTTTCCAGCTTGCAGGAGTTGTTTGTGCTCTGAAAAACAAACAAAAGAAGTATTATGCTGCTCAGTTAACAATGGAGAAGGGAGGTAGAGGGACTTTCAGCAGACAGCCTGTGACACTACCAGAACAGGATGCAGGTCACATATTATCATTTCCCAGCCACATTTTTACTCTCTGGAGCAGTCCAGAGCCCCAAAGCAGCCTTTTTGGGGCAGTAATCTCAGCTTGGTGACATCAAGCTCAGCAAGCAAACTCGGGCACAAGGCCAGGTCCAGATAAGACACAGGGAATGGACCGTATCAGCCAAGCAATCCTGCTGGAAACACCTCCAAATTTGCTCCTTACAAGAAGTCTGGGAAGAACAGGACATCTAGATGAAGCATGGTGGCTCTTGCCGCACTTCCAATGAGAGCCATCCCCAGGACTCAGCTCTCTCCATGCCTTTGTCCAACACAACTGTGCCCAGAGCCCTCTGAGCACCCATCAGTGTACTACAGATGGGTGCTCTGCAGCTGACCTGCTTGCTTTCCTCCTGTTCCCAAGGAGCATTCCCATCTCTTGCATACGATATAGGACAAAGTACACAAGAGGCACGTTTCCATCTTATCTCCAGCAGGCAGGAAAAAGGGAAAACCACAGGAGAAACAGTCATATGCCAAGACAGAGCTGTTCTGGACCCATTGTATGGGAATGCCTGCTGCCAGTTATCATGGAAGAGCAATAAACACCCAGGTTCACACGAGAAAGTCTGCACTGATGACTTCAAGAGTATGCAATGAAAATCAGCAGGAAGGGCACACACGGGTAAAGGCACTGAAGGCCACACTGGGAAAGAGGGAAGCCCCAGAACTAAGTGAATGAATGATTCCTTTGCTTCTCTGGTACCCAACGTCAGGTTGCCCTGAACAAAAAGACACAGATATCACTTCACCTCACTCCAAATAAAAGCAAGTTTTAAAGATGCGTAGACACCAAATCAAATATTTCATCAGGTTTGTCTAGTTTCATCTGGGGGCTGTGAAAAAGGCTTTTGAGACATTAAATGTGGGTAAGTGGCTACGGCACCTGTTCTGAAATACCCAAGAGAAGTAAGCCAGCTTGGTAAAGACAGAATGAAGCCTTCTGAGGTAGAACCTTTTGAGATAGTCTTTCTTGGCTGAAAAAGTGCAATAAATTTGGGGATGGTTTTATGAAACCCCTGCAGATGCACTGCTGAGATTTCACACAGACCATAACCAGGAAGGACTCAGCAACACACCGGCTTGGAACAGCCCAAACAGAGAAACTCTGTTCCTCCTCCTTTCCCCAGCCTTTGCCTGCAAACACATCACTACAGTTAGCACACAAAACACCATTCATTATAGTTAGAACCCAGGAGCACAAAGTTAGCTCTTACACTGGGGCTGGGATCAAAACGTAACACAAATGTTTAAAAGCAAGGATGAAATACTGAGCCCTCTGAAAGTTCAAGCAGAAAGAAATGTGACTGGTTCTCAGGCAAATGGGAAAACCCTATAAAAGGATCTTTAGCTTTATTCATCTGAGTTCATTCATTCACACCCACTGAAGGTGCTCCAGATTTACACATGGTACGGGGACTCAGGGCACTTAGTGGCGATACTTTGATTTCACACCACCACTGTGTACCCAACTGCCTGGGCTCAAAGTACCCAGCACTGCTCAACATTGACCCTCATTCTGCCTCCTATTATGGGCAGCAAGTCCAGGGGCTGTGCTACCCAAGGTTTGTATGGGGGTCCTGAATGTCTAAGGAGCTCCTAGAAGTCCTCCATGATCTCAGTATAATTTGCCAGGAACAGTTATGGCTCCAACAGGTTCTTAATGACTCAGAAGCTACTGGAAATGTCCAGACCTTTGTTGAGAAATTACACAGCTAAGAATTACCCAGGGTGCTGTGGACATGAAGGGGACTGTTATTACAGTAAGATCATTTTTCAGGTGGGAACCTAACCACAGAGATACTGAAGCAACCCATGCAAAGGCACACAGGGTATAACACATCCTGAGAAGGGTGAAACAATCAAGATTTGGCTAAGGCCAGCCCAGTGACTGGCTCTTCCTTCTGATGGTTAACAGTAAATTTCAGCAAGTGACATGGGGATGAATAATTCGGCTGGATGGGCCTGAGAAGTGGCACATGGAGGCTGAACTTTAGGGAGAACCCCCCGAATGCAAGCCCGGTTCCGAGTCCTCCCAAAGGAACCATCTGACTTAGAGCATCTTCCTTGGACTGAGTGAAACCCCACAAAATACACCCTGTGCAGCCCTTTGCACAGGGCAGCAGATGGACCCCATCAGTTCATGGGATGAGCAGGTATTTTCCATGTCTCACTATGAACCTTTGGTGTCTCTGCAGTGCAAGTGCATCACCCTTCTTTGGCTTTTTCAGTTCGATGGGTCTGGCCTAGCTATAGAGGCTGTGGTCTTCATTAGCAGAACTGCCATAGGACCTCTTTTGATACCACTCTGCAGAAACAGCTGGTTTCATAGAATCACAGAATGGTTTGGGTTGGAAAGGACCTTTAGATCATCTAGTTCCAGCCCCCCTGCCATGGGCAGGGACACCTAACGCTAAATCATATCACCCAAGGCCTCGTCCAACCTGGTCTTGAGCACTGCCAGGGATGGAGCATTCACAACCTCCCTGGGCAACCCATTCCAGTGCCTCACCACCCTAACAGGAAAGAATTTCCTCCTTACATCCAATCTAAACTTCCCCTGTTTAAGTTTTAACCCATTACGCCTTGTCCTTTCACTACAGTCTCTAACGAAGAGTCCCTCCCCAGCATCCCTATAGGCTCATGAAATCAGCCCCTGGATCTTTTCTGACAGGACTTATTTTGGTTCCTCTGGTAAAAGCAATGACACCAAGAACTGCCTCCTGAACAGGAACAATCTGGGATTCAGACAGGAACAAAAGAAAATGGGAGGTAATAATCACTGGACTATGCATCCACCCTGCTCCCAAAGGTTCCCTGTTTTCTGAAATGACTGCCCAGGTCTGAATCCGCTCAGGGGTCCCAGGAACACCCACAGCTACAGACACCCCTTCCCTTGGATCAGCGAGTACGACACTGCCTGAATGACAGAAGAAGTGGGATGGATGAGGAAATCTTCCCTCACAGGGGGAAATCCAGCAGTCAGGATACCAAGAGGGTGGTCTGCCTGTTAATTCAGGAGACAGAATTCAAACTGAAAGCTCCATGTGGAGCAAATTAGCAGAAACTAATTCTAATCCGTCCCACGCTGGCACAGAGGCACGTCAGCCCTGCTTAAAATTGCACCTCCCTTTAGATCTAGGCTGCCCCTTGTCCTACATGGAGAGAAAAAAGGATGGGGAGAGGCTGCATCACACTCTGAGTGCAGATGGTCCGTATTATTGAACCTCTGTGGAGTATCAGCCACTTGCCCCTGTGCCCCATGATAAATCACAGTCTCCTTCAATGGAGAACATTGAAGGGGAAGAGCAACGCTCTGTGGGACTCTGATTGGGTTTAAAGTCAGACTAGTTAAGGAGATGTAAATACTGAGCCCCTATCAGCCTGTAATTGTCATCATCATCCTGTTTAGGGAACTACTCACATCTTTGAGCAGTTACTCCGTGTCTCCTCCAGCCCAGGAGAAGGTCTGGAGCCCATTTCCGGCAGCCGGCAGAGAGCTGCTTTTCTTTAGTTGACACAAACAGAGTTTGTCAGCTTGTGCATCTTTGGTTTCTGCTTGGTTTAAAGCTGCTGCAGAGTCCTTGGGAGCAGCGTAGCAGCTGGAAACAGAGAACTCACAACCCACACCACAAAGGTGCCCATTCAGCAGCCACCGGTCCCCCAGGTCCTGTCCAACAAGAGCATCCTCTGTGCGGTGGCCTTTGGGACAGCATCCTCGGGCCCTGCTGAGAGGGGGGAAGTGACACTTCCAGTGGCTCTCGTGGAAGGCAGAGCCAAAACGTGCGCATTCACTTTCTTCTGCAGACAGAAAACTGAAGAAACACCCCAGCAGGCCAAAATAAATACATTTGGCATCTTTCCTGCATCTGCACCGGCACGTTCGTGGCACTGAAACCGAAAACAGGCCTGAACCTTATTTACACTAAAGTCTCTTTCCATCACTTTGGCAGTAGGAAAGGGCTTAGTCTCGGTGCATATTATATTTTCTTTTCAACATGTGTAAATGAGGATCAAGCTTTTACATTGCTTAAAATAGATGTAAATGACCCTTTATGCTGTCAGAATGGTGTCGAGAAGCCTTCCTGCAATAAAAAAATCAGCTCCATTATGCTTTCATATCATGCTCCATTCATTCAGTTTTAGTTTCTCAAACTCAGGCAATTCCCCTTGACCTTGGCAATCTGTGCTGAGATTTTACACAGCTGGGACTAAACCCAGGGTTTGAGGAAGGTGCATGAGCCCAGAGAGAAACACACCAAAACCTTCAATCTAAACTGGACTTGAAGACCCACCTGGAAGAGCCCCCATCCCCAACAGGCTCTAGGCCATCTGTGATAGATTTATTCTATTAGTTGCTTTGAAGACTTTGTATATTCCAGTCCTCTTTACAAAACCATGAAAGGGAGCAAAAGAGAGGCAGCGAGAGAATAACAAGACACGCTGAGCTGCCATCAGGGTTTTGATGCCTCACAGATGGACTTGCCATGCCTCCTGCTCAGGCCCAGGGGAAGCCACCACCATGAATCCCTGTTCAAGCCACTGGTTTGGCTCAATTACCAGTTTGCTCTGTGCACATGGAAGGAGACCCTGCCAAGAAAGGAAGTGGCCTTCCTTGGATCTCTACTATTGAATGCATTCATTTTCCTTGAAGAGATAGTCTCTGAGCACACAGGCTCAGATCGAAGGGCTGTATGAGCTACCCAGGTTATCGGTGGTGAAGGTCAGTGATGTGATCCCCATCCCTTCTGTCTGATTAATGCAGAGAAGAGTTGACCAAGGAGCAGGCTCAGTCCAGACAATCTGGCAGCCCAGCAGGGCTAAGGCAGCCCATGTCCTTAGGCTCAGTGCT